AAGAAAACTATAATTATAACTGTTTTCAACTCCATCAAACACCACGGAAGGATAAAATAAAAACACTAGAATTGACAGAGACATCTCGCTACCTGGACAGTCACCTCTGTAAAGTTGGGGCATCCATCTTCAGCACATAGACCACAGTGTGCCTGAAAGACTTCTCAGCAAAGCAGGAAATATCAAACTGTCCATCTGCATTGGCAGTCTGTCAGTCATTTTTCTGTGTCCTGCAGAAAGTCCAGCAGACTCTACTGTGAAACAGGAACCCAGAAGGACTGTCCAAGTTAAGCAGTCACTTTTCTGTGGGTCCTGCATGTCCAGTTTATACAGCAACAGTCAAGCAGTCCAGGCAAGAGCAGTTTCTTGCCCAAATGGCTAATCTTGCCATATTAAAAGCAAAATCCATAAGGAGTTTCTTCGATGCCCCTCTTACTCTCAGACGTAATTGATGTGCCAGGAGCAGACATTTCTCATTGTCAAGAAAAACCCTAAACCATTTTAAATGCCATTTTCTGAAGGTCTTTGAAAGGTTTGAAAACTGTCTATCTCAAATACATCTCTTTATATCTAGAAAACCTAACTATAAGTTCTGACTATTATAGGTAACTATCTATAATCTATATTTAATTATGCATTACATTTTTAAATGAGTTATACAAACAAAATACTTAAACAAAAGGAGAAATATACATATCACAAAACTGACCTTAAATTTGTGTCAATAAATGAAAAACCATACTAATACAAAGTATTCATTTTCATATCATAATCCCCTTTTACCTTTAAAAAGAGGTTGGTTGTGATCATTAACCAAGTATAAGGAACCCCATTTAAATGAAAACAAAGATTTATAAACAATATTTGGGAACTTGGATGTTGTTCATTCCAAACTGCTTCCTGCTGATAGGGTGCTGTCCATACCATGGGGATCATGACAAAACACAAAATACCTGGCCAAGGCCTTGTTTTTGTAGTCCGTAAGGCTGCATCATCTCAGCTGTCTAAGATGCTGGATCACCTGGGTCACTGCTTCTGGGGGTCTTGATTCATCAAGCCATAATAGAAGGCGGGAGGAATCCACAGCTTTCCATTTTCTGCAGAAACATACATAAAACATTTTTCCCAAGTAATTGTCCTTATGTTTAGATTTAGAAGTCAAAGAATTTTCAAAAGATATAAGTTGGATTAATTCAGCAGCATTTATAATCAAACATATTTCAGCAGTTGTTCCTTCATTAGCCACTGAACAACTGAAAACACAATAGCATATAGTATCCAGACTCTGTGTATTTTCCATCTTTACATGGCTTATATTACTCTATTTCTTTTACTTCTTTTTTTTTCCTCTGAGACAGGGTATCTCTTTGGAAATCTGCCTGCCTCTGCCTCTGGAGTGCTAGGATTAAAGGCGTGTGCCACCACACCTAGCTACTCTCTTTATTTTTATTTTTTCCAATATCTTGATCCTTTTACTGTCCCAAGTCTACCTATATTTTACTTCATCTGAATCTGACTTTACTCTGAAACTTTGTTTTTCTGGCCACGTGTCTTACATAGGCTAAAGAACATTGGTAAACTTAAAGCAGAAACAGCCACTGGCTTTCCAACATGGCAGGCCTAAGTTTGCCGCCAGCTCACTGGGAGCTGCTCTCACTGCCACAGTCTATGTTGACATCAAGCAAATGCTGCTGGCTTGGAGATGCGGCCACTGCCACCTCCAGCTGCACGAACACACCATCAATTGTTAGCAGGGCCTTTAAAAGAGCCTTGCAGGGTTTCCTTTTTTGGGGGGGGGGTTGTTGTTATTGTTGTTTTTGCCTCTTATTCTGAGTCAGGAAGACTTCCTTAAGCGAGCTAAGGACTGAACCCTGGCAGGAGAAGAGCAAGATTGGTCAGGGAGGTCTAATGAAATCACAAAACATCAGAAAGGGAAGAACATCTGTCATCATATCTCTTCCGTACCAACCTATGGAGTGGTTCCTCTTGTTTGGGGCAGAAAATTTAGAGATACTTTTTTATCAAGAGATTCCTATGGAATAGTGTTTCTCATGGGCAACAAATGAAGAGGGCACCACATTGGGGCAGCATGGGGAGGAGCTTCTCATTCACAGACACTTGAGGGATACTTCTCATGAAGGTTGCCTATGGAGAAGTTCTTCTTACCCAGGACAGCCTATGGAATGAACCCAGAAATAATTTGTCTTCAGGCTATTCCAGCATACCGTGTCAGACTGGCTCTAAAATGTATAGTGTGGAGCCAGGTCAAATCAGCATAGACTGTCTTCTCAAGTTTGTGCCTCTCCAGACACCCACAACTAAACACTGACCTGAACTCCGGAACTCATTGGCAGAGAGGGAGGAGTGATGAGCAAAGGGATCAAGACTGGGCTGGTGAAACCAATGGAACCTGCTGACCTGAACAAGGGGGAGCTCATGGACCCCAGACCAGCATGGGATTGGGATTGCTCCAGACCCCCTAAATTTGGGTGACAGTGAGGAGGCCTTAGCAATCTCTGGTGCCTTGGGTACTAGATCAGTATTTATCCCTGGCAACCGAATGGCCTTTGGAGTCCATTCCACATGGAGGGATGCTCTCTTAGCCTGGACACATGGGGTGGGGCCTAGGCCCTACCCTGGATGATATGACAGACTTTGGAGATCCCCCATGGAAGGCCTCATCCTCCCTGGGGAGCAGAATGGGGATTGGGTGGGGGGCTGTGTGAGTTGGCGAGGGTAGGGGAGGAGGGGAGGGAGAGGAAGCTGGGATTGACATATGAAACAAGTTTGTGCCTCTCAAGTTTCATCTTACTAGTTCAGGAGCAAACAAATGGAGACTAGGATCTAGCTTTATCTAGCTCTATGTCTATTTCTAGAGGAATAGAATTAGTGCCACACTGTCACAGACAAGGATGTGACCAGCAGAGCAAAGCAAGCTTTTTGCTCATCACTCTGCCTCAATGAAGCTCTTAAATTCAGCTATGGACCTAGGAAATTTGGGAGTAGTGACTGTGTGAGGGTTAGAAGTAATGGAATTCATGTCTGTGGTTAAAACACAAATAGACCAGCTGTTTCAAGGGATGGTGTTTTATGAATCTGGGTAAGGGATGTGTCCTATTATTATTCAGATACCAAATAGTCACAGACCAAGCAATAACTTTGTAGTCTCTATCATGTTATTTCAACACACTGAACCACTAGCTCACAGAATGTGAGCTGGTAAACACACTGTTCTGATACTTAGTATGACAATCACATAGGAATTCATTTGCATTTTGCTTTATGGCATATATAATTCTTGGCTAAACCACACAGTTTAGCCAAGAACTATATATATACTTTAAAGTTTTCTCTTTAAAGTAATCTTTGGAATTTGCTGTCTTTTGACTTGTCAAGTTATTTGGACTTTTATAATAGCAAAAGTGCAATTGAAGTTACCTATGAGGAACAATCTGCTTCCTGCCCAACACAACTTTATGATTCATCTCCCACAGTGTAATACATGATTTCATGATTTTTTTCAGTGAAATAGAATTTCTATAACAGCAGCAGATCCATAAACATGGGTATTGGTATATTAGATTTATTTGTTGGAGAAAAAGAGAGCATGCTTTCAGCTACTAATAGCCTAGTTATAACAAACTAATACATATCCAGGCAACAGTCTTTCTCTTTTGCTGTCTTTGCTTTATTATTTATTTTTTAATATTATCTCACTATGTAAGCCTGGCCAGTCTGGAACTCACTGTATAGACATGGCCTCAAACTCACCTGCTTCTGCCCCCCAATGCTAGGATTAAAAGCAAATGTCACCACTGTTGTATTTGTTGGACTTTGTAGAAAAACTGAAGATACTACTCTAGGAAGTCAAAGGGGCCTTGACTTGACTCATCTTTCTGGACCTCAGTTTCCTCACCCATAAAATAAGAAAATAAGTCCAAGTATGTTAAAGACCCATTTGCTAAGTGGGTAAGCATTATGAGTGCTCCTCTTCTTGGAGGTCTAATCTGTCCCACACAAGAAGTACTGTATCGCTTCCATGCCATAAAGAACATATGTAGAATGCTTCAGCATCTCTGTCCTGCAGCAGAGAAGCTTGCACCCCACAGGAGACAAAGCTGCTACCTGCCTCAGCCTAGTTTGGTGTAAGTGATATCATCACTGTTATGAAGACTACGCTTCCTATTCTACAGTCTCTCTTCCTGAGTTAGGAAGGACTGGTGGGGTCAGCAGAAGAAAAGAACTTACAGATAGTGGCAGGGGACTTATTCTCAAACTCTTCCTGGAGAATCTTTCCCTAAAGTTTCCCCATGATGAAGTCTGTGGTCAGACTCTTGCCCTGGGCATCTCTGAAGGGTTTTTGTGATGGGGGATGTCTTTCTGTATGCTGTAAATATATGTTTCTCTTATTGGTTGATGAATAAAGCTCTTTTGTCCAATGGACAGGCATGATGTAGCCAGGCAGAAAGTATAGGCAGTGCTACCAGACTAAGAGAATGCTGGGAAGAGGAACATGGAGAGTGAGTCATGGGGAGATGTTGTGTAGCTACCTGGAAGGTAGGCCACCTGGGTATTCTCTAATAAGCCAAGACAATGTGGAGATACATAGATTAATAGAAATGGGTTAATAATTAAAAGAGAGCTAGCAGCCGGGCAGTAGTGGCGCACGCCTTTAATCCCAGCACTTGGGAGGCAGAGGCAGGCGGATCTCTGTGAGTTCGAGGCCAGGCTGGACCGACAGCCTCCAAAACAATACAGAGAAACCCTGTCTCGTAAAACCAAAAAATAAATAAATAAATAAATAAATAAATAAATAAATAAAAATAAAAGAGAGCTAGCCTATAAGAAACCATTCCCCAAACAGTTTATAATTAATAGCCTCTGTGTGTTTAATTGGAACCAAACAGCTGCAGGATCAGGCGGGACAAAAGCCTCTGTCTACACTTTTGGTTCCTTGTGTTCTAATTGTCTGATCCTGTTTTGTCTGGGCTGTCTTACAGGTATGAGACATCTCTGTTGGATTTGGTTCAGTTTCTGAGCCCAAATACTGCTCCCAAATCTCAGCCCCATCCCTCCAGAGCAACAGGAATGTGGAGTACTTTCCAACCTAGCCCTCAGAAATCTACCTGGAAGAGAATGGGGACACACAGAAGCCCTGAAGACCTGGAGGAGAATCAGATTCTGGAAGACATATTTTTTATATGACTTTGAAGCACACGCTACAAAATTTCCATAGGAAATATTTGGGTTCCTTTACATATTGATATAGGATGTTAAATTACTTAATTGCAAAGCAGCCGAGTCTCTCCTTTCACAGGGACCTGTCTTTCTGGCATCCTCTTAAGTATTAATACAGAAATCATTCTAATAAATCAGGTGGTTTTTGTCAGACCAGTCAGAAAACAGGCTAAAAGAGGTGGGCTTATGGATAGAATCTTTTCTATGCCAAACAGAGATTAGAAATTTAGGATACTTAGTGCATGTCAGACACCATGGATATGTACTGTCATTTTAAAAGTGTTTTCAGTGTACTGCTGGAAAACGTTGGCTCTTTCCTTACATAAGGAAAGTAGCCACTTCAGAAGGCTTCATCCTTCTTAACCTTTCATTCCAAAGCTGAAGTTAGGGACCTAATATCACCACTTCCTGGGACCAAATCATGGGAGTCATAGCAATCATCAACATGGTCACTGCTGCCCCTTACACCAAAAGCTCAGTGGTTAGCAGGAAGTTTCCAGCCAGACTGTGTCATTAAACCACAGGTAAGAATGGCTGCCTGAGGAAATCCACCAATGCCTGTGATGGGCATTCGGGCGTTTCTTGTTGACTCCACTTCCAGGTGTTCTTGTGAGTGTCCCTCATGGGTGTGTCTGGGGAGGACAGCACTGGAGAAAGAGTGGTACCCAGTGGCTGCAGGCTGGCAGGTTTCTCCTGCCCTTGCTCACGCCATAAGAATGTACCATCCTAGTTTGACTGCCCTGGGTACCTGAGTCGAGCAAAGCTCTGCTGAGCATCTTTATTGGCCTAGATAGGACTCCTTTCTCTCCAGAGTTAGCTAAGTCCTGTTGCTTCTACCCAGTCTCCCTTTCCTTCAAGACTCTCAATTCCATACTCTTCATCTGTAATCATTCCCTTTGGAAGTTGAAAGTTAATTGCAGTTTCCAATTTCCTTTTCAAATTCACCCTGAGAGTGACTAGAACAGACTTGTTCTATTTCAAAACACCTTCAGGATATGTCTGGAGTGGCAGAAATGGCAGTTAGGTTCCCAGAACCACCTTCTCTCTATCCTGTATGTCACCAATAGCTTCACTATGCCTGTTCCCTTAGACTTGCTATAACCCTAGTCACTTGTTCTGAGCATCAGTGTTCTTCCTACTCTAAATTATGTGTCTCCAGAAGAATAAGAAGGAGAATCTGATCTCTTTAAGAAACATAGTTACCCTTGGGAGAGTAATGAACATCCTAAAAAACAAAGGCTTTTTCTGGGTGCCATGCCAATGAATGGAATTTAATTGCTTTTATACTTTACCAACAGAGGCAGTTTGTAAGAGAGAAAAAAATGAGTTTTCAGGGAAGCATCATTGAATACAATTTTCATACTTCACAGTCCCTGCCAGATGCTCTCTTCAGGCATGGGGGCGGAGGCATTGATATGAGGATGGTAGGAAGGGAATATATATATATATAACCTAGTGGCTAATATGATGATATATGTTAACATTTTAATCTATATTAAATTTACTTTGAGATAAATGTGTTGTTGCAGAGTACTTGGTCTTGAGCTTTTGTAGCTTATCCCACAGAAGAATGGGAAGAAAGTGGGAGCCATGTGAACTCTACTGATAATGCTCCCTTCAGTGGCTGGTTGGGACTTCCTTGGCCAGCCCCTAGATGTTTCCTCAAAGCAAGACTGTACACACCCTGTGAATACCACAGTTAAAGTATTGCCCACATTGCTAACTGCCACCTTGTAAGAGAAAAACTAATCAGTATTTGTAAAATGAACCCGAGTATGTCCACTGAACCTGCCACGTGGGGCCCATGTGCTTGATTTAAAAAGATTAACCAAGGAATACCTTTTGTGGCCATTCCGCTTCCAAGAGGCACACTTGGGTTTCTCCAAACCTGACTCACGGTGGGGACTCATCCAGCGCATTCCAGGCGTCATGAAGAAGGCCTGACTCTCTCCTGTAGAGCCACTTTTCACTGGCTCTGCCTCAGCGCCAGGGTTATCTTAGATGTTTGCTACCGTTGGCTAAAGGCATGCTAGTTTTGACATTGACAAATGTTTGTGGTAACTCAGTAAACAGTCTCTGAGCTGTTTTCCACGTGTGGTTGTGATAGTGAATTGTCCTCTCGCACATCATTAGATTAGTGAAGTGTAGTTTTAGAGCAAGAGCAGAACCCCCAAAGTATCAAAGTACTATTCCCTCCTTGTTATTGTTGGACAACAGGAGTGCATGGCCATTTGAAACAGTGGAAGTAATGCGCCCCGACCCAGCTGGTGATCCCAGTGCAGCTCCGGCTCATTCCCGTCACCAGAGCATCAGGACTCAGTAGGTTCTGCAGTTGCTGGGATGGACAGTTCAATCTAAGCACACCTCTGAGCCCACCACCATAGCATCTCAGCAAGAAAGACACGTCACACCACTTAGAGAGAGGAGCTGTGGTTCTGCCCAGTGGGTTTTAGGTCCTTGAAAACTCCAAGCGAGGGTTTGCATAGATTCATAGTTCCAAGATCACACCCTTGTGTTCCCCCAAAACAGCCAAAGACCCTGGCTTGCTTCCTTGAGACCAGTCTGTCACCCCCATCTGAACAAGAACTCTGGACAGCTGCCTCTCAGAGGCTCAGATGCAGAGAGCAGAGCCATCAATCAGCCCTCTCTTACATTGGAAGTGAAATAAGTAAGCCATTTGCTCATACGTAAAATGGTCCTTAACCTGAGGGGACGGATAAGCAGGCAGCTAGAGAACCGGATTAGTACCCAGTTGTGTGGCTTCTTGACATTTTTGCTCCACTGGGGGGGGCACTTCTCACCTCAGGCATCAGCTTTGTAGATGTTTTCTCTCCTTGTCATCCTTACCACAAACACTCTAAGAACCAGGTAAGCGACTCCTTTTAATCTGCCAGTGTTGCTGCAACAAAATACCTGAGGCATGGCTGTTTACAGAGACCAGGTATTGGTTTCCTGTATTTCTAGGTCTAGGATTCAGGTTCTGACAAGGTTGAGTTGTCTGGCTATACCGCATCATCCACAGGGCAGATGTCTTTATGTCCTTTGATGGCACAAGACTAGCAGATTACCCTAATGTTGAGGCAGCCTCCTTTTATACGGGCCTTATGACCATTAGAGAAGTAGTCCAGAAGCCGGGCTTTGGTGGCACACACCTTTAATCCCAGCACTCGGGAGGCAGAGGCAGGAGATGTCTGTGAGGCCAGCCTGGTCTACAGAGCAAGTTCCAGGACAGCCTCCAAAACAATTACAGAGAACCCCTGTCTTGAAAAACAAAAAAACAAAACAAAAAAAAGAAGTAGCCCAGATTGTCTATTATCCCAAGCCCCCACTTTTTGGCTCTGTCACATTAGCAACTGCTGAATTTTTAAGTAGACATGTGCAAACAAAACATGGGATCCAGAATTGTCCACAGCCTCTCCTGTCTGCGCCATTGTAAGTCCGTTATATTCCAGTCTGGGCACTCTAGCCTGTAATCCAGAATTGTCCACAGCCTCTCCTGTCTGCGCCATTGTAAGTCCGTTATATTCCAGTCTGGGCACTCTAGCCTGTAATCCAGAATTGTCCACAGCCTCTCCTGTCTGCGCCATTGTAAGTCCGTTATATTCCAGTCTGGGCACTCTAGCCTGTAATCCAGAATTGTCCACAGCCTCTCCTGTCTGCGCCATTGTAAGTCCGTTATATTCCAGTCTGGGCACTCTAGCCTGTAATCCAGAATTGTCCACAGCCTCTCCTGTCTGCGCCATTGTAAGTCCGTTATATTCCAGTCTGGGCACTCTAGCCTGTAATCCAGAATTGTCCACAGCCTCTCCTGTCTGCGCCATTGTAAGTCCGTTATATTCCAGTCTGGGCACTCTAGCCTGTAATCCAGAATTGTCCACAGCCTCTCCTGTCTACGCCATTGTAAGTCCCTTATATTCCAGTCTGGGCACTCTAGCCTGTAATCCAGAATTGTCCACAGCCTCTCCTGTCTGCGCCATTGTAAGTCCGTTATATTCCAGTCTGGGCACTCTAGCCTGTAATCCAGAATTGTCCACAGCCTCTCCTGTCTGCGCCATTGTAAGTCCGTTATATTCCAGTCTGGGCACTCTAGCCTGTAATCCAGAATTGTCCACAGCCTCTCCTGTCTACGCCATTGTAAGTCCCTTATATTCCAGTCTGGGCACTCTAGCCTGTAATCCAGAATTGTCCACAGCCTCTCCTGTCTGCGCCATTGTAAGTCCGTTATATTCCAGTCTGGGCACTCTAGCCTGTAATCCAGAATTGTCCACAGCCTCTCCTGTCTACGCCATTGTAAGTCCCTTATATTCCAGTCTGGGCACTCTAGCCTGTAATCCAGAATTGTCCACAGCCTCTCCTGTCTGCGCCATTGTAAGTCCCTTATATTCCAGTCTGGGCACTCTAGCCTGTAATCCAGAATTGTCCACAGCCTCTCCTGTCTGCGCCATTGTAAGTCCCTTATATTCCAGTCTGGGCACTCTAGCCTGTAATCCAGAATTGTCCACAGCCTCTCCTGTCTGCGCCATTGTAAGTCCCTCATATTCCAGTCTGGGCACTCTAGCCTGTTAAAGAGCCTGCTAAATCCGTCCCCTTTGTTTTGCAGAGTAAAGTGTCTGTTTGTTTTCAAGTGGTTGTCTGAGACCCCACGCCCTGTCAGTGGCAGATCTGGCTGCCAGGTGCTCTTCTCTGCAGCACAGTTTCTGTCTTCATCTCCTTTTCCAAGAGTTTCAGCTATAACTGAGAAGAATCCCATCTGTCAGAAGTGAGCCATGTATTTCCTCCTGGGGACTTCATCAGTTGGGAGCCCATCAGGGACTGATGCTACTGTAAGGACTTCTCACCTGCAAACATGGAGACCATGGAGAGGCTATCTAAAGCTATCTAAAATGATATCCCCAGGGAAAAAAAGAAACATGCATTTCCAGATATGAACAGCTTCTCTAAATAATGGGAGCTATAATATCTCTAGTAAAGACTTCTCAAGGACAGTGACCAAAATGAAGAGAGGCATTCTAGTGGGTGGAAACAAGCTGGTTGGTACTTGGCGGTCAGTAGGAATGATCTGTCGCTTAGATTGCCAAGATGGCATAGCTACTTTGTTCTGGGCTGCCAAATCCTAACTCTAGTACTCAGATCTTCGTCAGCATTCTCGGGCCCTTGAGTGACATTCATTTTACACATTAGGTACTATTATCCTGTCTAGGAAAGTGGTTATCAGCATGAGCTATGAAACCAAAAAGACCGTGATACAGATCAGTTGTGAAGAACCAGGTGTGGTGGTGCAAACACCTGTAATCCCAGCATTCACGTGTGACCCAGATGGTGGCCCAAATGAGGGCATGCTACATACCGGACGATGAAGTTTTAACCTCCACACAATGAAAAGCCTGAGATACTTTGAGATTACTTGTTAAATGTTCCTCTAGCATTAATGGTAGTCTCCTTTAGAGAATACAAGATCTGGAAAGATAGGTAAAGTAACACCTATTCAACGTCTACTAAATGTTGAGTGAATCTTGTAGATAGCATTCTCTTTTAACCTACATAGCAACCCCTTAGAGAGGTTGGAGGTTGTATCTCAGCCAGTAATTCATGCTGCTACTATGTGGACTGGGATTGAAGCTATCCATTCTCCATCCATGTTCTGTGTCATGTCCAGACTTCTTGCCAGAAAAAAACAGGTGAGACCTGAAGCAGAGATGCTAATTGTCACAATGTTGCCACAGGCTACTGAGAGACTAGAAGTTTCTAGTCACCTTATAGTTGTATGCTTACATCTGGTTAAGACCTGTACGTGTCTTAACCAGATGGGGTCCTAAGTGGAAAGAAGTATACAGAAGTATGGTCTGTTTGGTGCTCTGTGTCTTGACTTTATTGATGGTGTTGTTATTGTTGCCTGCTTTGTTTTCTAATGAGAGAAAGAAAGAGTGTGGATTTTGGTTGGTGAGAAAATGGGGAGGATCTGGAAGGGCATGGAGGAGAGCAAACTGTGACCAGAATATATTGTATGAAAAAATCTATTTTAATAAAAGTATGGTTATAAAACATAATCAAACTTATTCCAAAAATGAAGTATATAGGGGCGCCAACAAAGGACACAGAGAGCATTGTGGGTAGGAAGAACTGGAGAGGGCAAAAATTAGTCATTTGGGGGTGATGATTTGGAGTAACAGTTACCAAGGACAGAGTATATGAGTCCACAATATAATGAAAAGAATACAAAGCATTGGCCCTGTGAAGTAGAGTGCAGGAAGCCAGGGCTGCTCACAGAGCATCCGCTGTACACCAGCAGTTTGTTGTGCTCTGTATCTCATCACATCTGTAGGAAGTAGGCTTCTTTCAGGGTTTGAACTTGATTTCAGCATAAGGGTTTCCCCCATAAGCCATCTTGAATCCTTTATCGGGTGAAATTGCACACAAGTATACATCTGTGCACACAGAAGCGTTGACTTTTTTCACTCAGTAGTGAAAAATGAGGGTTAACAAGATTCATCAAGGTCATCAGACAGTGAGGGGTGG